AACTTAAACGTGCAAAGTGAAAATTACAAGTGAAGGAAAAGCATACATTTTGACATCTGATTTAGAATACACAGTTTGTAAGAGCAATTTATTTACTGTTGGACAGAGGAACTGAAGCTGATTAAGTGATGGAATAAGTAACTCAGCATTCACAAAAATAAAACTATCGAATAATATTTGTTTAATGAGAAGAGTATTCTCTAAATCTAATCTGAGAACCCAATATGAAAAAAATAGAACCCTGAAAAAATTATGGTACATTAACGAAATTAACTCATTAATGAAAATCTACTCAGTTTAGGGAAAAACAAAGTCAGGAATGTTTTTCGACAATACTAGGTACTTAACAGAATACCAAAAAAACTTAGACATGCTTAGGTTCCCAATGAAGAGGAAACATAACTCATGGCAAAAATCATCAGAGAAATCAATCTTCAGGTTATTGGTAAGCATATAAAATAGAACAGGAAGAAGTAGAAAAAGCAAGTTAGAGACATTTTACTGTGAACCATAAATTTCATTTTGTTGATTCAACAATAGTTGCTCTTACACAAAATTCTGAAATGCTGTGGCACTCCACTGCACTTATCGGTTATAAGGACCATGTGTTGGTAACGGCTTTTCCAAGTAATCGTCAACATGAACATAGGCGATATCCAATATGATGAAATCATACATTTAATTCATTAAAAACATATTTGAATTGTAATGGGTTTAAGCTTTACTTAACAAAATCAAAAGTATTGTGATCTGTTACATCTGTTACAATGAATAACAGAAATTCGATACAAACTTTGTAATAAAAATTAAGTTCTAGTGTAGAGTTGGGTGCCCTTCAATTAACGACATAGTTTGTTCAGTTTTGGCGATTAAACCCCATTTCTGGTTACCATGATAGTTAACTTTGTTTTAGCTTTCTGAATTTTTTCAAGTGAAAATAGATCGATTTGTAAATGGACAAAGTTAAGGCAGTGCACAATGCCTAGTTTGTGCAATTCTCTGATTTTTTAAGTTAAAAATAGATCGATGTGTACATGAACACCAAGTTGTGCAATTCTTTCACTTCTTATTTTGGTTTTGTGTAGTGGCCATCTTGAAAATCTGCCTTCCTGCCGCCGATCTTGGCTTCAAAAAAAAATCACAAAACAAAAAAAAAAAAAAAAAAAAAAAAAACAAGAGGCACCCAATTGTAAATTCTTACCAAAAATTAAAATTACAGTAGAGTTGAACATTACTTATAAAAAAAAAATAATTGTTTCATCCAAATTTATAACGGTGATAACTAGGTTACTGGCAATAAAATTTCAAATTTATCACTATCATCTACACTCCGCCACGTAAATTCTGCAAAAGACGAGTCCAAGTGATGTCTTGCAGTTCCTCTATGCTTCTTATTTCGCGGATCACCACAGCCTTTCTATGATCTGCGTATGAACCCCGGTTTCTGGATACACGAAGTTATACAGTCAAAAGTCTTTAATCCGGATCTCAAAGCTACAAACTTTCTGTGCATGCGTGTTTAATGTATAACGGACGGTATAAGCTAAGCTAAAATTATCTAATTATCTATTTCAGTTAATGTTGCAGATTGCGTTGTTCCTTAATCTTCGAATTAGATCCGGCTTATTATTTTTTGTAGAGTGTTAGAGCAATTTTATAAAAGTAAGCTTGAACTTTCGATTATGTCAATTAGAATTTCCGTTCTGAAGGAGCTGCCAAAGGATCTATCTACAAAGCGAAATCATGTTTCGATGTCCATCAAACAAAAAGTGGAATTGCTGCAGAAAATGTATAAAGGCATACATATCCTTTGTTTTTCTAACCATTCCGAAATCTGTTATCAATTTCACGCTGCTCTGTGGGGGGAGGAGGGAAACACCGCGCTGCGCTATGAACTGGAAGTTGATCTTTCGGCACTATCCTTATCTTCAGGGCAGATGTTTTTATTTTATTTGGCTTATAATTCCTTACTAAATGTAGTATTTCATTTTGATGTACTCCGTCTTTGATATGATTTAAATCAAATTCCTCATCATTATAAATATCACGAATACATGCCATTAATGTGAGCCCTGCATAGTTCCTATGGCAAAAGTCTTAGGGGACAAGAAAATTCTTCAAATGCCATATTATAAGCAATCGTGGAAAAATGGCAACCACAAAATGCATGTGAAAAGTAAACATGAACTTGGTAAAGTATACATGAAACATATATATATACTGCGTTTAAAAACCTGGTGCCAAAATGAACAGAAAGTACCAAAAAATATTTCTTAATGACAGAACACTGCTTACCTCAAACATTAGTTATAATCAAATAACTATACAAATTCTTCAAAAATGAATTAAGGAAAAAGAGATACGAGAAAATCAAACAAATAAATAAACTTTAACTATTTTAAAAATTAATTTTAAATGGGGAAAGTGCAGCATCGCCCACTGTTTGGCGCGTTTCTAAGAATAATTGCACTAACTCGGTATCCATGTGCTCATCGACCAATTTTCACTTTAAAAAAATCATCCCAGAATTGCACAAAAATGGCATTGTACACTCCCTTAACTTTATCCATGTATACATCGACCTATTTTCAATTAAAAAGTCAAAGAAAATTGACAAAATCCAATTCTTCTTACTCTTGCAAAAAGCGTTAAATAAAGAAGTGGGCGATTCTGCACTTTAGCCTTTTAAACATTCCAATTATTTTATTCAAATCATTAATCTAAATCTTATTTAGTAAGATAAAAATGCCAAGAAAAAAAAGAAAAAAAAAATTCTTCCTGGTTAAAATGCGTAATAAATAAATCATTCAACTGTTTTCTTTCTAACCACAATTCCACATTACATTAGTTCTTTATTAACTATCTTGATATTTAAAACTTGTTTTTTACTTCTTTGTAAATAATCGGGCATTTTATTAACTTTTTATATTTGTTTTCACATTCATAAATAAAACAAGCGAATCTCTCAAAGAAAAAATATACATTCTAAATGCCTATTGCAGTAAAAAAAGGTACACACAAACCAGAAATTACAGATAGATAAAAATTATCTCAAAAATCAGTGAGAATTTATTTTTGAAATATAACAGATATTATACTGTTCAACTGCACTGGAAAGTGTGAAAGCAAAATCACCCCCCAAAGTGGAAACAAGTCTATTAACTTTTACAGAATAACAGGAAAGCAAAATAAGAAACTTGAAATTTTTTTAGAATAATCTAATATCAAAGTCTGAGTATCATTTGAAAACTGATTACTACTGGACTTTCTTTTCTGCTTGACATCCTCTTAAGTAAACATGCTCTTCTCTTAATGCTTCTAATTCAGTAATGTAGTACGCTGAAGCAAGATGGAACAGCTTGAGTGCCAAAACCCAAACATTTGTAAAATAAATATTTTGTGTGTACAAAAGATAAAAAAATCAATACATATAAAATTACTGAAATTTCACCTCAATATGTGGCTCAAGCATCCAACAAAGTTACAAAGCAAAGTAGTATGCATGAAGTTGCAGGGAACCTTGATGTTGTAGAGTGAATAACGAACTAAAATTAATACAAAAAGTCCCAAAATACAGCTTAATGACACAATTTATTGTAGTTTCCTGCTAACAACTGAGTTTTTACGCATGACAAAGCTCCTTACCTCAAAGCAAAATTTATCACTCAATTTTTGAATGAAAACAATATCAAAACACATGAATAGGCTACAAAAGTGATTTGATATTAAGCAGATCGAGAACTTATAACAAACTGTCCACAGAAAACTGAAGCAAAAAATAGAACTTTAACACGCAACTCACTGAAATTGGGTATTGTGAAAGTGAAATAAAGAAATAAATATAAAACACATAATTGAAAATATGTTAAATTGCATATATATACTCATTAAGAGTAAAAACAAGGCTACTAAATATTAAACTTTTAATTTTTGTAAAATATAAAAACAAATCTATGTTAATCATTGTTATTTGCATTTACTCTAATACTTTTCACACATCTGCATTTTATACATGTACTTAATTTTTATATAGAATTTAGTTCCTACTAGATACTACATATAAAATGAGTAAGTAAAAATGATTGATGTCATTATGTCAAAATTTTTATATTATTAGAAGACTAGTATTGTTTTCTTCATAAGCTTCAAACAAGCAACATACAAGAAAAAAACGTTATTATAATGATTAAGTTGAATTAAAAGCAGTTCGGGAGTTTTAGAAATATTTAACGCCTTAAAATATGACAGAAACATTAACATGCTTTAGAATCAAATTTAATGTTTTTTAGGAACCTTGACATCGTTTGTCAACAGAAACATATTTTCTTCCTAAGCAAACACTAATTAAATTTCAGATTTTGTAAATCATAACTATGTAATATTTAGTACAATATTTAAAGTTAAAAACTATAAAACAGCAATTAATTTTTAAAAAAAAGAAACATTTGTGTATTTGCGCTTGATAAACGTATGATGAAACACTGCAGCAGTTTTCAGGTAATAAATTTCCAACGCAATTCCCAAATAATAATAACTTAACTCTTCAAAAGATTAAAATTTTGCAAATAATGATACATTGCTGCATTTCCCAACGCAATACATGACTTTTCTTTTCATCCATTCCTGTGAGAATGATCACATATATATATGAATGTTTAGATTTATAAAAACCCAAACAATGGATGCTGCTTCTAAAAACACAAAATATACATGCTTTCCTTTATACATGCAATTATCTAATGCGTAATCGGAAGAAATATGAAGTCATTCACTATAAATTCTCATCTAATATCTATAACGTTTTCTCAATACTTAGTTAGCGTGTGGTTGGCGGCCAGTATGTTTGATGCACATCGCATGCGACAATTTACTTGATATTAGCCATTTAGTGGCATCATATTATGCAAATTATAAAACAAAAAAACATTAAATACAAAAACAGTGCACATATATCTTTTAACGGCAATTAAAAAATCAAACAAAACAAAAATCAGACTTACGCTCACTTAAGCCTACAAATTTCCGCAGGTCACTAACAAAGCCTTGCTTATCTGAACGCTTACAACATCGCGGTTACACACGGAATTCACATAAAGCAAATAAACGATTTCTAAATAAAAAGAAATTAAGTGAAGTAAGAAAGACCATCATTTTATAAATTTTCTCAAAGCAATTTTTTAAATATAATTATGTGCAGAAAATTCATGTAGACAACAAAAGAAAAAATATCAATACAATTGATTCTGAATATTTCTTAACTAGAAAATCTTGTAAGAGTATGGATCATCAAACTTTCGCTCCGAAGATATACGCTATACTAACCACACACAAAAAAAGAAACCATAAAAATTCCACAAAAGTAACATAAAATAGAGGCTCCAGAAGTTATAATTATTAATGATTAAATTAGAGCGGCATGTTTTAGTTTTAGAAAAATTAAAATTGTAAATTGGGTTTTCCTTTTGGTATTACTTTCAAATTCTTAAAGAAAACACTAGTAAAATTGTATGCTTTAAGCAAATTAAAAAGAAAAGTTATATTTTATTGATTTGGCATTTATGTTCTTCAGAAAGTTTTCAAATGGCATATAGTGAACAAAAAGTGTCAAAGAGCGGGGACGTAGCCAGGACGCATATTTCCATTTCCTCTTTGGAAAAAGCTACGTGCCATTAAATATAGTGATTTAAGAAATTGATTAATAGTAATAGAGGGAGAACAGCATATGCCGGGCGATTCGCTCCATTACTATTCGGTCAGAGCATCGTAAAATGCCATGTATACTTGTTAAATACTGTACAGTAATTAATATCGTTATTTAAACTTAACTACTACTTCACCTATGATTTTCAACTTATGTTTTTGTTATTACTTTTCTTATTATTGAACGGCAACGATTATTATTTGTTATTCGGAGAGATCGGAGATCATCATTCGTTAAGTGGTGTTCGACCCGAGGGCCTTTACCACTACATGTTTATCAATCCCCTAAGGACCTGTAAAAGTTCGTTAAATTCCATAAACTGGAAAAGTCCTGTGCACTTGTAATAAAAGTGCAAAGTCTTGAGTAGTGAAGAAGTTGATCAGGGGTGGCGACTTATATCGGCCACAGATGAAGTCTTCGTTGGATAAGCTATAATAGCAACTAAATTTTGGCATATCTTTTACACATTATCGTATATTTGACACAGTATCGTACATTAGTAAGATGAAAAGGATGATAAAGATGAAACAAAATCTAGATTAAATAGTTGAAAATAATAAAATATATACAAGAATTACCATCTAACATTATGATGTATAGTTCTGGGCCGTTATGCGGCTGTTCGATTAGATAGTCGTACTCCCCTATGTTTTTAATAACTTCGTGAGTGGAGGAATCACATTTTTCGTAGAATTTGAATGTAATCTTTAGTAATTCAGCATCTAATGGTAAAATCTTTAAAGAATTATGGATGACAGTGTTCCTAACGAACCACGGAGAGTTCGAGAGGAATCTGAGAGTTTTACTCTGAAAACTTTGAAGCCTTGCTCGGTTTGAACGTGCAGTAGCTGCCCACGCCGGAGCGGCATATAGAATTATGGGTCGGATTGCCTGTATATTTGTTATTAACAAAAAAAATTTTTTTTTTCTTTTTTACATAATGTTTAGAATGCTGTTCTCAGCCTTTTTTGATGTTGTTTATGTCATCAATGCTAACGAAAATAAAACTTCAGATACGTGCAGAACTGAAACCAAGTGTTAAAGATTGTACAATAATTAATATCGTTATTTAAACTTAACTACTAATTCACGTATCCAACTTATGTTTTTGCTATTACTTTTCTTTTTTGCTGAATGGCAACAATTATTATTGTTATTGTGAAATATGCTTTCGTTTTGATGCAATTTTTATGTTTAGAACTCAATGTTCTCGGCTTATTTTGATGCTGTTGATTTTAGCAATGCTAATTTAAGGCTGCATTTTTACTGAATAAATAGTTGTTTCATTCATCTGCAGAACTTGTAGTTCATACGAAATGACCGCTGTTCTAGATATTATGAATTGCAATTAAAATGATTTGTGCAAAGGTGTCTGCTAATTTAAACTGAATTACCCAGGGCAGGCGGCGAGGACGACTCTTTGGTTACTGTCCCACGGGGTCCCCCCTTCTACTTGCTTAATTGCTTAAAGTAGAGTGAAATGAAGGAAACCACTGGCGGTACATTTCTTAAGAGCCCACTGCTAGCTCAATCAAGAAAGGTGATTTAAATAATGAAATGTTAATTTAATTCACATGTCAAATATCTCTTTGCACACAACATTCTGGTGTAGATCTTTCCATCACTTGTAAGCTCGCCTTGCAGAGGACCATCCATTATTTTTAATTTTACGTCCGTTCTTTCACGAATTCTTGAACAGACAACATAAAGTTGACCGAGTCCAAATGCAGGCTCAGGCAAAAAAATGCCAACACGCTTAAGCGTTTGGCCCTGAAATTTATGGATAGTCATAGCAAAGGCAAGTTTTACAGGAAATTGTCTACGTCTCAATTGAAACGACAACCCTGTGCTGTGGCAACTTCACCCCATTCGCTAGTACAGTTACGCAAGCAAAAATAAACTATCGGCGACAAACAGAGACTTAAGCCGCATATATATATATATATATATATATATATATGGGGTGAATTAACATTATCTCCTCCGAAACGACTGGCTCACGGGCTTAGCGAAGCACACCGTTGGATTCCGCTGGTCCGTGGCACACCATTTTGACCATTCGCGTCTTCTTGAGACTTTAATTAGTCGAGATATTAATTAAAAACTAATTTTCCCCTACGTTTTTCCCTACATTTTCCACTTTCTTTCTTGGGTTTTCCCTATTACAGTGATTTGGCTACCTGCCAAATTCTTTTTTCTCGAATATCTACGGAACGGCGCCGAGTTGAAATTCGAGACACGTATTCTCGGATTCTAAAAAATTCTCCGAATCCATCGATACCGTTCTCATCTTCGTACGACTTTACTCGGCCGAGATATTAATTAGAAACTGCTGAAACGGTAATTTCCGCGCTCATTTTTCCGAATGGCAATAATAAACTGTCGGCGACACACACTTTAGCCGCCTTATGTATATAAAGATATGACAAATTTCAAAACGCGCCAATATAGAAATTTTAGTATATCTTTGAAATCTTTGAATAAAAACTCGATTTTTTTTCAGGCATGCTTAGAAGTACATGTACATTAAGATGATGGTAAAAATTTTATAGAATATTCAACAAGATTTTCGAAAAATTTATAAAAATTATTTAAAAACACAAATTTAAAAAATAAATAATATAAAATGGGCGAAATTTATTTGGAATTAACCTAAATTTCGAAAGGTGAAAGGAAGAATCAAGTAAGTTTAATAAAAAAAGAGATATTAATAAATATATACCAAATTCAAATAACATGGAAGAGCTAAAATTTTGAGAGCTAATTTAAAAAAAAAAATAAAAACTACTTTTTCGATTTTTATAAAACATGGCAATTGGGCATAATTTGAGTCATAGAATCGAAATATGAAAAAAAAAAAAAAAAAGGGTATGTTATTTCAGAAAAAGTCCGGTTTTGTGTGAAAATGCTAGAACGATGCTGTATATAAATATAATATATATCCTAATGGTTCGAGTTCAGGATCTTCCAAACGGTCGTTTAGAAAAGACCGAAGCTAATAGCAGTTGCTCGTGTACTAGAGAGTGCCTGCTCCATGATGAAGCACGTGGACTCCGTGGCGTTCATCTCCGATTTAAGACACGTCCATATCGGAGGAATTTACGCAGCTATGCAAGCGACCGGGGGTTTAAGACCATCGGATAACGCTTCCCTCATAGGAGCACAATGACTCACCCATACAGGAGCACAGCCCACCAGCGGCCGAGCGGTAAAGTCGCTGAACACTGGTAGTTCGGTCCGAGGTTCGAATCCCGCGAACGGGCTGGCTGCATGGGCGTTTTCGTGGTTTTCCCCATGTGTAACGTGTATACGAGCCAGTTTCCCTTAGAAAGTCCTCCACGAAGGCATCCCTCCTCTTAGCAGATAGCCCTCAAGGCTTTGCCATACTCACACACACACACACACATACAGGAGCACAGTTTCATAAGCAGTTATAATCAGCAGTTCATTTTAATTTTGCACTTGGAAAAATTTTCATCCTTCCTTCTCGGCGGGTGCTTATTCAACGGAGGTTCTCCTGTGTGGACATTTTGCCGGTTCCCCACTAGCTCAATTTATCGCGTTAACGATTGCATTTCCGATGCTGCATTACTCTCTGATACGGATTCGTCTTTGACTAACGTAACCTTCCTAGAAGTTTCCACACGCGGTGGCTAATCATTCTGTGTAGCATTGTTGCAAAGCATCGAAGTACAGAGGAGTTTTACATGCTCAAATAAAATTGCAAAAATTTTATGTGTAAACTCCTCACACAATTTTTTTTAAAATAGAATTCCACATTTAAACTCTTATACAGTGTTCCGGTTCGAATAGAAACTTTTCTCTGCCTCGGAATGGCAACAGTCCGAACTTGAAATATCGATTTTCAGTTTGTTTGACGCAGCTTGAATGCTGCTGATGAGGTATTAGATAAGATATTAGAATTTTTGATATTCAAATAAATTCGGTTTTTAAACTAGATTGGGTATTTTGAACATATATTTATCACTGAACCACTACTTGTAGAGTTTTAGATGCTGCTTGTCTCAAATAGAATTATCGTAGAACATCGGAGATACACAGCGCCATTTGTCTATTGTTCTAGCGTACATACGGGGAATTTTAAACATTTTATGCTTTTGTAACAACATTATGAAATTCTAATACATGTTTAGCCCAAAGGGACAATTTACACAGAAGGACTATTAATTTCATGTTGGCGTTTTGCGTTAATTCAGTATAAACAGCGAATCACTTTTTAAATTGTTGCCACCAAATATTATCGCCCTGTATTATATTTAAGGAAATTAAATAATGAAGAATCTGCATAAATGTATGAATATTTCTTACATTGTGGTAAAACAACGGTACCTAGAGCTATCCAGTTTTGAATAACGTTCCACCCGAATATGGGCATC